ATACCATTTTTAAGAATTATGTTTTTCAGTGAATAATTTGTAATTTATAACAAAATGTACCTAGAAACAAACATTTATGTCAGTCTGTGTTTTCACACTACTGTGGAGTGGATAGTACAGAGATTACCTGAGATTACGCAATTAAGATATTGCTTAAAATACTTGGTTTCTGTGCTTTCACTTTCAGTTGTTGAGTGTATGATCATTACTCACCTTCATAAATATAGACACTACCACCAAGCCATTTGGACTCTTAGCAGCTTCTGTGTAGTTTGTGTACAGTTCATGGTTGTAATGTATAAGCTGCACCTGTGTAAAGACAAAATGGGCATTAGTTGGTTTTAAATTTTATAAAAAAAAAATGCTTCCCTACTTCGCATTATGCTCACAACCAATGATAAAATAGTGTCAGCTTAAGTACATGGCACCGGGAAACATGTACAAGTACTGTCTTTGCTCTTCAAAAAAGGTTGTTGTTTATGTCAAGTAAGTGTCAGCTGTGCAGGTGTTGAGATATTAAGTCCAAATTTCTCTTGGATTTTATGAAATATGAAAGCATAATTGGGAATAATTACTGATTGATAATACTTTGCATGGCAATTACCGAAAATTCAGTTTTCATAGTGCAGATTTAATCTTACAACCTGTTTTCACCTCAAATAAATATGAAAAATAAATATGTGACGGTTTGAATAAGCTGAGAGTCCGTTTGGATAACAGCCTGAGTTTTTGTCATTACAGATGGCTCTGAATCACAATCACAGGTAAACAGCTGCTTCTGTCTTTTGTTTGAACATGTCGGTCAAATTTAAATTCGAATTCATTGTGAAGCTCAGCTAATCTTCCTCCGGTTAATCGCTTGAGCACACACTGTCCCTGTGAAAGAGCTTTAAAACTTAGGCAGTTTAGATAGGTGAAGAGGACACAATGTCTTCTCCGTGAACTCCACAGAAAGAAAGCAGAGCCAAGAAATGGACAGATTAACTTGAGCAGAGAACAATTATTATAAAATAACTTTTTCTAATGGGAAAAAGTGTCTCGTTCAAGGTCTTATCCCACCACAGAACACTGTAAACAGTTTGAGGACTGCTGTAGAGTTGTTGGGAGTGGCGTCGTACATCCTTTTGTTTTTGCTACGAAGGAAGGGATCGATTCTTTACCAAGCCCTGTTTAGCCTGCTGTGTTTTTTTAAAGAAATAAATTAAAAACTGTGTGGCTGATAGTAATTATGAAATATGCAAAAGGGGAGCCAGGGAATGACAGATCGTCTATAAACTTAATCAAGTGTGGAGGAACGCGATTACAGAGCGAATGTTAATTTGATTATATTTGTTTTTTTGTTGTGCGGGAAGCCATTTCTTTCCCTCAACTCTCTAACCAGAGCGAGTCTGAAGCGATTCAACCCCAAACGTTTACACTCAACCGACTTCATAGACTTTCTAAGAAGTCACATTATATGTGCGAAAAACTGCTCCGCTCATTTCACCGGATCCATTGGTTCTGTGAATTTTGCAGATAGTGAAAAGGTGTCGAACAGTAGCAGGAAATGTTCAGCGCATCTTTGCAGACAGACGGATCTGTCAGACCGTGAGAGGAGAGGTGTCTCTGTTATGACGGGAAACAGCTTATGCCTCTGGTGGGCCCCCTGACAAGCTCTTTATTGTGTGATAGCTGGCTTAGGCCTACCATGGGCGAAATATGAAGACAGCAAGTCGATAGCAAAAAGAGCGGTGGACAGCGCTAACAGGGCAAATGAAAAGCAGTCGCCTGGAACCGCCATCCAATAGCGGATAAATCGGAGCGTGCGCTCATAAAGCAAATAAACCGAAGCAAGAGAGTACGGAGAACAATCCTATTTGATTACGTTAAGATGTCCTCTGAAGGAGCACGTAGCCTGTGAAACCCGTCAGGCTAACGTGACCGGTTTCCACTTACAGCATGGCATCTGATCGTAGGGTTTTTAGTAGGACGGCAATTTATAACATAATATAATTAGTTATGGTAGAAGTTTGATGATTTCCAATTTTCTGCTGTACTTTTTAGATGGCACTTTGTTATATTTAGGACATATGAAAATGGGATTTTAATGAGCAAATATACTGTGGCATCTAAGCTCTGAACAGCGATGGTAATGTGTTATTTTGCTACCATTGATAATTAGAAATTAATGAAAGGGTGAGAAGGGGATCGAAAACAGAAGTGTGGGCTGTTAGATGGTTGTGCAAATCAGTGGATTTTTTGTTTATTATTGCAAAGAAACTAACTCTTTTTAATGAAAATAATTTGATTGTTCTGTTTATATATATTTGCAAACTTTTTAAAATGTCTGAGACTGTCGTTTCATTTAGAAACAGCAATATATCTGCACATCCACATATTTCTGTCTTTACGTCATAGATTATGGTATTATGTGGTAATAAAATGCATCATTGCATAATGAAATGTAGTTGTGATTTGTGCATTATGATGTATGAAAACAACTTAAAGGGATAGTTCACCCAAAAATAAAAATTCTGTCAATAATTACTCACCCTCATGTCGTTCCAAACCCGTAAGACCTTTGTTCATCTTTGGAACACAAATAAAGAAATTTTTGATGAAATCCGAGATCTTTCTGACCCTCCATAGACAGCAACGCAACTGACACATTCAAGGCCCAGAAAGGTAGTAAGGACATTGTTAAAATAGTGCATGTGACATCAGTGGTTCAACCGTAATCTTATGAAGCTATGAGAATACTTTTTGTGCTCAAAGAAAACAAAAATAATGACTTTAACGACCCATGCGTGAGGTGCTGCTGATGCAGGATTCTCATTTTGTGTTCCTAAGATGAATGAAGGTCTTACGAGTTTGGAATGACACTATCCCTTTAATACACCTATAAATGATGGCTAAAAGCTAAACATATATTCCTGCAAAATGATTACTTGGTTTTAGGCACGGGCCGATTACCGGTATCAAGGTATACCGCGGTTTGAAATTTTCACGGTTTCAAAACCACTAACATTTTCCGTTATACCGTTCCTGCGGTATGCGCTGTTTTTCATGTCTCCTCAAAGACTGAAAGTGTAGGAATCCATCAGGTTGAGTGCAGTGTTGAGAGTAACACGCCCCCTCCTCCTCCTGTTGGTGCGAGCAGTCAGTCACGTGTGTGTATGACGGCCGAAGGAGCTTCCTCTGGAACTTATGCAACCCTACTACAGGAAAACCCGGCAGTTCTTAAAAGCTGAAGAATTCCAAAGGAACTCTGTTATTTTTACAGGAAAATACAACAAAGTATATCGTTTACATGTAGCGCATCAATTCCGCATGTTATGTAAGACTCTCGCTCTCTGCGCGTGTAAGAGAAAGCGACGGAGAGTCGTGTGCCTTCACATTAGAGCTTAAGTTATGCCAAATACACAAACACAGGTGCACTGCGCATCCATTCAAACGAACTGAAAAATATCACAGATTGCTTGACGGAGAGTGAAACTCTGAAGCGCTCAGTCAGTGTTCTGTGAGTGAAAATATATCTATGCTAATCATATACTCAGCCTCCAACTCACACACTGGCGAGTAAAATCTGAGAATTTATTAGCCATTGGCTAATATTAGACATCATTTAGTCGCCCAGAGTGAAGATTATTCGCATATGCGAGTGATTTACTCGCAATGTAGAGGGTTGCTGACAGTCTAACAATGTTGTTGTTACCAAACAACATTAAACTCCGGCAAGAAGATAAAGTCCTTTTTGCAAAATCATAGACATGTATTTACAAATCAAGTATAATGGGAACACAGAATGATCTTGGAGAGAGCTTTACCGAACTGACTGCTGTAACAGAATGCCACCAGGGTTTAAAGGCTGAACGAATGACTGACAGCAAAAGCG